GACCACCCACAACTCTTACTGGACCAACAACAACACTTACTGGACGTCCGGCGCGGAGAACAATTAACGAGATAATGAGAAACTGACGAAACGAGTTGCTTACTTTTAACAGCTTTTTCACAGAAAACTAGTTTTCGCACGTAAGCTCCCTTTTCGTAGACCAGGTCACATATAAACAGCGACGGAACCCAGTGGGAAAGTAGTAATGCATTACATGCGTGATAAATAATGTAATGTATGTATACCTTATGAGTTTTAGAGTCCATTACTGATTAATATTTAATCAGCATTCTAATGTATCCAAAAAGTAAAAAAAATGCATACTAATCCAGATACATTACTACTTTTCGTAGGAAATCGCTATGGGGAAAACAATGCGTTTTCGAATGAGAAACCAGCTGTTTTACTGATTATTTTTTCGATTACCCATTACATTACATGTTCCCACTAGGAAATTTGGCAGGTGAGAGAATTACAAATAGCTCTTTTTGTTTACGATGATATGCAGTAAAAACGGCAACAATCAATATTGTTTTATATTCTTCTTATATAACCATCTTTTAAACCACCCTGTATATACGCAGTGCGCTTTCTGGGCAACACCCTTTCGGGGCAATATTAGTAAGTACGTTTTCCCTAAGCTCGCCCAGGCTGGACAGCTGAGTAGCAGATCGGACAATGCTTAGAAAACTCTGTGGCTATACGTGAGTCTAAATTTGGGATTGATGCAGAGTACCCAGCTGAAAACATATCGACTTACTTTTTTACCCGGGTTAGATCGTTCCGTAGGTCATGGTTCCAGATAACATACCCCGTCCAGTCCTCCCTGTATGGGATGTGGCTGGTGAAGGCGCCACTCGAACGCGGCATCAATATGAAGTGATTGATTCAGCCAGGAAGCTTTTTAGAAATTGAAAGGCCGTTCAACCAAAAGTAGTCAATTTTTTTTCGTGCAAACCTGCGTGAGTTGAACGCAAAAGTTGCCTGAAAAATCGTCTCATATATATGTCAGTACCTCAAGCGTCTTTAAGAAAACGAGAATAAAATGATTGGTCGAAATCCCTCGGGGATACGTGTGAGACTTTGCCCGCCTTGGGTACAAATATATTTTTGCTCGAACCCCAAGGCTTTTTAAAATAAAGCGCTTAAGTACCTAAGCAGGTCACCTTTATCAGTCGAAAACTCAAAGGGCATGGGCTCTCAATCACTCTCTTACACGTTTGGCTGAAGCTTCCCCTTCAAGAGACATATTTCTGTTGAATGAGTTGATGAGCAGCTCCCTTCGTGGCGCTCTCCCAGCTGCCGTTTAGCATCCTTCGGGGCCACTTAGGAGTATCGACGTGCTTTATAATTTTAGTAGCTATTTTCTTTGACACTCAAAGGCTCTTGGATTTATTGAAGCGCCAACCAATAAAAATGCTCTAAACTTAATTATTTTTATAAGGCAAATATTTATTGAAGTTCTCTCGAGATTATAAATAAATAAGAAAATAAAAAATCGAATTTATGATAAACATTGTAAATTCAAGATTGCATCATAATGGACTTGCATTAATATAAATAAACAAATAAATTACTCAATTAAATAAGTTAATAAATAATTTAAAAATAAATTAACTAGTCGTTGTGGATAAATAACGTTTGCATAGGGGTTTCAGTCAAAGAAATTACTGCGAAGAAATAGAAAATTTATTTTAGTTAAAATATATTTATGTGTTCGTAAATATAATTTAATATTTATTTTATTTATAGCCTATTTTATTTTATTTATTTCATTCATTTTGCTTTATGTACTTTACTGAGTTATATAATTTTAACTTTTCTACAACTAATGAACGCACTTAAAATATTTAGTGACTACTTCAAGCATCAAATTATTACATATAACTCTTTTTTTTTTGCTTTGTATTTGTGTTTTGTGTGATTTTTAGTTTTAATTGTTTGTATGTACTTGTATTTTGTGCTTTTGCTTATCTATTTTCTAAAGTCTACAAAATTGTTTAATACATTTTAAATTTTATAGTAAAAAGTAGACAAAGTAAAGCGTTGTATAAAAGAGGTAAATGGCGTTGTACGAGTGCTGAATTAAGAATTACCAATTTTTTTGATTTCTTAAATTTTTTAGTTCTTCAAATTAGCAAAAAATGGCGCGCTGAGTACAAAAAAAATATCAGCATGTGCTACTGTTATGCATTCGAATGATTAAAAACAGATTACTGAGCATTTCATTTCCATTGTTAAAAATGTGCTGAATTACTAAAACTTCAAGCTGAATTTACGTAAAACAAGAAAAATTTGAATTTGTTGCTTTATTTAGTGAAAAAAATATATATTTTTAACACAAAAAGGCGTGCTGAATACAAAAAAAAACACTCAAATTATTAAAAGCGGTCTGTGCATTTTATTTCTACAGTTAAAAATGAGCTGAATTAGTAAAACTTCAAGCTGAATTAATCCAAAACAAGAAAAAATGTACTTCAATCGCTTTATTCAGTGCAAAGAATACAGATTTAAAACAAAAAGGTGCGCTGAATATAAAAAAAAACACTCAAATGATTAAAAACTGGCTGCGAGTTTGATTACTATCGTTAAAAAAAACTGAATTACTTAAACTTGGAGCTAAATTGCTCTAAACCCACTTACAATTTTTATTTTGTGGAAAATATATATTTTGCAATGCGCTGAAATTCGTAAATCCGAGCTGAATTAGGTTAAAATATGTAGCAATTCTTGTTTGGCTTTTGATCAAATGAAAACTGTTCATGTATTTGCTGCGTGTCGTCAAAAGTGTTCTGAGTTACTCAGCCTGAGTAACACTAACTGCTGTTCTTGTAAGCGCGCTGAATAGCACAAACATCCAGGTGGCAAATTGGAGCTGAATTAGACAAAGCTGTTTGATACAAAAATTTGCATTGAATTATTCGCTTACTGCCTCTTACTCGGCACGTGCATTGAAAAATATTTGGCCAATTTCGCATTGACAAGAAAAAAAAATCGAGCTAAATTCAAATAGGTAAGGCGAAAATACTCGTAAAGTAGTTGAATAAACATTTTAAGAAATTTAATTTAACTGAACACTTTTACTTTATTTTAAATAAAGCTGTATAGAAATTCTTTTAAAAAAGAGGCTTCCTAGAGAGTCGAATACATTTTAATAAAACTGAATGATATAAGTTTGAGCCGAAATCGTTTCTAATACCGCATAAGTCTGTGCTGAATTCATTTTAACAAGCTGAATTTGTTACTTGAGCCGAAGTCGCATTTAACACCAGCATAAATATGTGCTGAATTCATTTTAACAAGCTGAATTCGCGCTGAATTGAATAATATTTTATATGAAAATATAAGTTCATTGAATATTAACTGAATTAAATTCATACGTACATAATATTAGGCTGAACTCGATATCACTGACATACCTATTGTTGGAAATTTATTTTAGTTAGCACACATACTTTTTTTCTGAAATTACATAGTTCCAATAGATATACATAAAATACGCCGATTTGCATTAAATCAAGCCGCAGACAGCTCTTCGTCGATAAAGCCTTTGTACAAAAGTCGCTTGGCTTCATTTGAACTTTGAATATGGCTTAGCACCGGGTTCTACTGCATATATCTTCATATTTTTCATATATGTTTGTATTTAAGAATCAAACTACATTTGTATGTATAAACTTAAAAACTAGTCTTCATTTATATATTTAAATTTTATTAAAATTGTAAGCGCTAAACTGCCACCAATACAGAAGGCCCAAACAGACTCGAAAGGCTCGTCGAAAAGTTCTCAATTTTAACCACAAATTAGTATGTAATCTGGTTCCTTGCTTTTGAACTGTCGAATAATAACTAACACATTACTTTGTAAAAGCAAAGAAATACAAATAGCTACAAGCTAAAATTACACTACTACATACATACATACATGTCAATGCATGTCAATGCATGTAATCATAAATAAATAACTTAACTAAATAAACACCCGCCTCGGGAGCGATTGCAAACAAGAGAAGACTATTGTGATTGTGTTGTATGGTGACAACGTTAGTACCCATCCAATGCAGCGGACAATCAGTTCGCATCGGATCGGTGAGGTTGCTGAATGTACATAGTACGCGCGACCTGCAGCTACATATTCATACATACATACAAACATACTATAAAATAAACCTCGGCATACCGAGTCCAATTCGTAATCGTCGTAATGTTTATATTCTCCGTTTCAATGTTCATGTGTGCGTTCGGGATTTGGTGAGTGTACCAGTGTGGGCAACAGTTGGCGGTGGTCCTGGTATTTGAATGACCGGCAAAGCGCCAGTCAATTGCGGATTTGTGTAGGCCACCGCACGTTCCTTCTCCGAATGGCTGAATGTGGAGAATGGCCGCAAGCGCACATACAGCACAGCTGATATTAGACAGGATGTTATTAGAATACCGAGCAGTATGATCAGTGTGATCGCGAAACCGGGCGTCGTCATGCAGATGAGTCCGTCTTCGCGCGCTGGAAATACCATCGTTTGCGGTGTGGCCGCTGTTGTGCCGTTCATCTGATCGTCAATGGCGAAGGTGAGGTCACCCGACGAGACGACTTTGATAATACGATTAAGTCCAACTTCCTGCTCTGGATCGACGGCACGCGTACGACGTTGGACGCGTCGCTCATCACGTCGCTTTCCAATACCGCTGCTCACATGGTAGGTGTCAACGTGCAATTGCGGTGGTGGTGGTCCATATTGCGACTCCGGACCAACTTGTAAGTGATGAACTTCTTGCAAATTGGGATCAGAGCATTGATCGGGACACTGATAACGACAGATTTGTATTGTGCACTGGAAATGTACTTCCATTGAATCGGGGAACTTGAATGCTTGGAAGTGCGCGTACGAGAGTACCGAAGCGGAGGCGCCGAAATTTTTGATTTTCGTAAATCGTGACATAAGCTTTGGTCGCGTGACGCAACCGCGTTGATCTACCAATTGTATGGGTGCACGCTTGCCATCGTGCGCTACACAGTTACGTACAAGCATATCGAACTTAGAGTCGTCGTCCTTGATAGCCAACACCATTGTCATCGTTTGGCCGATCTTCACCAATCCCGACACCTCGGAAGCCCATGGTCCCTTGCCAACCTGTATCTGCATCCAACAACCCACATTGTCACCTGCAAAGTCTGCGCGCACCACATCCAACATATCGACGGGGAACGGGCGGAATGTTACGCTTTTCTCGTATTGATCGTGCCAAGTGCAACGTAACTTGCGCGCTTGATCCCACACCTCCTGCACTTGTGGATCATACTGTATGACGATGATATTTTCGAAATAGGTGCCCGAACCCGACTCATGCCCATAGCCATACAAGCCGTTTTCTGTGTTGCCCGAAGTGCCGCACTCATGCAGTCCAATATCGAATGTGGCCGATGTGCGTCCCAATCCAGAGGGTAAATGCACGCAATTCATGTTGCTGTAGTGTCCCTTCGAGAAAACAATGCCGTAGAAAGGTTTATCGAATTTCACAAAAACTTTCATGCCATTCTTTTCGCACTTCACATCCAACGAGATAATCTTTGGCATATCCTGCACTGGTGAAGACCAAATTTCGTTGTTGCTCGATGCGCCAACACTCAAATCGGGCAGCACTTGTGGCGCATGCACTTGCTGTGGCGGTGGCCGTTGTGGTGGCAATGGCGGCGGTGGACCCTGGTAGGCTAGTTGAGCGGGTGGTGGTGGTGGACCGAAGGGTTGTCCAAGACTCAAGGGAATGCTCTGATGGTTGCCTAAAGTGGAGGAGAGGGAAACGTATAATAAATAAGATGACATAGTTTTTATGAGATTGGCGGTAATTTACTTCGTGCCGGTCCCGGTTGTTGCTGCTGTATGTTGTGCTGGTATAGCACTTTTGGCGGTTGTTGTGGTTCCGATTCCGATTCCAACGCCACCTGATCGACTTCATTGTCATGTTCGGATATCTCTTCTGTGCCACTGATGGCTTTGACCACGTCAACATCATCTGCAAGCGCGATCTGTAAATAAATGGAACGAAAGCTTTAGAAAAATGCATTAGACAACTTTTCTGCAAATTAGTAATCGAATGTGAATAGCTCTCAAGAAGTTTTGATGTTTAATATGCATGTATTTATATAATAATTGATTGACGTTTACACATTTGTTTTTGTTTGGCCGAGTGGCTTGAACCCAGGCCCTGCGGAGTGGAAGTGCGCACTGATTACCACTACACCACAGCGGCGGTGCATATATGTATTTATCTTTTTAGCCCATATCTAAAGGGACACTCTGCTCCTGACTAAATGCCACTAAAAAGTTCAGAAGACCTTTATTGAGTACGGAGTGAATGTGCTTGCAATGCGGCCATGTGTCCTGGGTATATAACATCTCGGAAATGGAGCTAGCGTGGACTTCGGCTTCTCCGGCTGCATCCCTAGAAATTATCTACCAGACGTTCGTACACCAATAATGCTTTCGTAGATCTGGATGTTAGTGCATCCACGTGTAACAGTTCGCTGTCCAATAGAAATTCGCGTGGTAAAAAATCACATCTAATCGATACTGCTGCAGTTGCCAGTAGAATAAGGACGTGGAATCCCCAGATTAATGTAAATCCAACCCTCAGTAGCTCTCGGGAATTTATACTGGCACAAAGAGACCACCACTATATTGTCCAAGTTTGTCACCAACTCATTGAGTAGACGGGACAGCACACAACTTGTTGGACTGCTGACTGGCCACTTCGTGTGGCACAAACACCTGACTGTGATAGCCGTACATGACAACTCCATCTTCCCATCCTGCCTTGAAGAGGATGAGATTTAACCCTAGAATACTAACCTTATTTTTTATTCCTTTAATACTAACGTTCGCCTATGAGGCTACTTTGAAAAAAAAAAAATAAAAATTCTGTCTTTCTAAAACCTTAAATTTGTTTAAAAAATGAGTTTAAACATATTTCATATGTTTTTAAAGTAAAACTATGAAATAATTCAATAATTTTTTTAATATTAATAAAAATAATTCGTATTGAAAATAACACATATATTTTACAATCTTTTTGAAAGGGATCATTTTAAAAAATTAAAAAAAAAACATTTAAAAGCGAACGCACTCAAACAANAAAATGAGTTTAAACATATTTCATATGTTTTTAAAGTAAAACTATGAAATAATTCAATAATTTTTTTAATATTAATAAAAATAATTCGTATTGAAAATAACACATATATTTTACAATCTTTTTGAAAGGGATCATTTTAAAAAATTAAAAAAAAAACATTTAAAAGCGAACGCACTCAAACAATCCATAAATTATCTTAAAGGTATTCGTATTTACTTTCACACTTAAAAGGAATAAGTTGTTTATCTTGTCTATTGTGAGCTGTACTTAAAAATGAAATCGACTTTTTTGTATCACATTGGGCCTTATGAATAAAAACTAAGCAATGCTTTTTTCTTAAAATTTCAGATCCTTTACGTAAAGTTATTCGAATAAATCAAGCAAAAGGTTTGAAATCTTAAGAAAAAGCAACTGCTTAGTTGTTTTTCATAAGGCGCATTCACTGAAATCTTCTTCCAAATTGTTCTCACTATCGGTTCCATTCAACGATATTTTTTCCAACCATTTTAGAACTTGTTCTTCATAGGAACACTCTCGAAAAGTAAAAAAAAAAATTAAATTCAAAACAGAAAATAGCCAAAAACATGTTAAAAACTGAAATAAGGACAGCAGACAAAATTACCTTTACTACTAACGTTCGCCTGTCAGGCGTCAAGAGGGCGNGTTTTTCATAAGGCGCATTCACTGAAATCTTCTTCCAAATTGTTCTCACTATCGGTTCCATTCAACGATATTTTTTCCAACCATTTTAGAACTTGTTCTTCATAGGAACACTCTCGAAAAGTAAAAAAAAAAATTAAATTCAAAACAGAAAATAGCCAAAAACATGTTAAAAACTGAAATAAGGACAGCAGACAAAATTACCTTTACTACTAACGTTCGCCTGTCAGGCGTCAAGAGGGCGCGGAACTCAGCCGCGCAAGGCCACTGTACAATGTGCGTTTGCTAACAGCCTCGTACAGCGCTAAGCTGAGTTGGCACGAACGTTTACTTTGAGCATTAAAAGCGTTCCTGAAATATCGCGCGGAAACCGAATTCGTTCCGCCCCACAGGCGAACGTTAGTATTCTAGGGTTAAAAGAGATTAAAAGGAACATGAAAACAGTACAATGGACGGCATGTAGTCAAAGTGTTGTTTTCTGCACGCATACGGATGCCCTGAACGTTATGACAAACCCATTTTCTATAGACCTGCACACCGCATTCGTATCTGCTATAAGATACGGAGGACTGGGTATATGGCGAATATGAACGATTGGTCATAGAAGTATAATTTCCTAATTGCCGTCGAGAGCTGACTAGAACGGGAAACATCATATCTCCGCCTGGCCACATCATCTGTATAAAAATAGCTGCAAAATCGAACGCTCTCTTTCTCTTAATTCAGAAGATCAATTCAACTGCCCGATTTTGCAAGTGCTTTCCAGGCAGAAGTATTCGCTTTAGTTGTCGGCTGTCGTCTTTTAGAAAGATAGCCAGGTGGCCTTTAAAGCCCTTGCATCTTTGACAACAATGTCGAAACTGATCAACAGGTCTAAAACTTTTTATACGCCGTAAATAGTCGGCAGTCAATGGCAAACCTCCGAGTGTATTCTGCCATGAAAAAGAGCTCCTCTTAAAAATACAATCCCTTTATGTAACACAACATCTAGCACGCGCCACAAATCGGGGTAGAAGCTCGGCCAAACATTAACATATTGGCTGCGTTTCTTTATACATTCCGGATAATCCCATTTCACAGCCGGAATAAACAGAATACGTTTGAAATGTACGTTAACATATCACCAGGAACGTTCTAAAGAATAAGTAAACAAAAAAGTTTATTCCAAACGTTCAGAATGAATAAAGAAATTCAGCCATTGTATAAACGCCAATCTTTTATTATTATTATTATCATTAAGTAGTCTGCACGATCTAGACTTAGTTCAGTTCCCGGTCATCGCAGGATTCCCGGAAATGAGGCTGCAGACGAGTTAGCCAGAGAGGATTCCACATTAGCTTCGAACGAGGATCGGTTCTCAACCCCAATTGTAACTAGTATATATAGAGACTTCTTTCTCCACAATCTTCATAAATCGACGCATGATGGCAGGTATTGGTATACTGGAACCCACGCCTGAAGGCTGGGCATAGCAGAAACGAAAATGAACAGGAAACAGTAGAGTACCTTTTTTTGCAGATGGCCAGCTTTAATGAGGAGCCTCCATAACGTAGTATGTGCACAACTTTAACAACCACTAGGTTTACGATGTCAAAATGGTACTTATCTGCTACGTGGACGTAAAGTTTTTCCGCCACTATTCTAACCTAACTTAAACTTGTCGCGTGTTATACACATTCTAGTTTAATGGAAATCAAATATGTATGTGAAAAATTTAATCGCAATCAATCAATCTATCAATCAATTAATCATTACCGCAAGCAACAACAATCAATAAAACCGCAAACTTCCAACGGTTCTTAAACGCCCCAATTAATATCTAGTGTTAAGCATACGGCAATAAATGCCTTTTCATCAATGAACGGGATGTGATGTTGCACGATTTGTAGAACACAACACAAGAAAAAGGCGAACCAATTTCACTTTTTTCACTACACACACCAACGAACAGACGATGATGACACCTGTTCCCAAGTAAGTAGTAGACGATCCAGCACACGCTGACAGACACTACATTTGTATGTAGTTAGTATTTACATTCTGGCCAAAGCGCAAATTGAGTTCAAGGCTAGAAAATGTGTCATTGCTTGCTGGTACTTGGCAAAAAAAAAAAGAAAAAACTTTCAACGACGAACCATAAAACAGTCAAATGTGTAAAATGTGCCAGCAACTGGTTGGCGGCGTTTTTGTGCAATTCTATTTCTGGGTTTGTTGACCACTTTTTGCTAGCCTTTTCGCCTTTTTTCTTTCTTTTATTTTTTTGTGCTGCAACATAATTTTCTTTCATTTCCATGCATTTGCTGCTTTCCTGTCTTCCCGGTGATAGTTGTTGGCAGATTTTCTTTTACTTTAATGGTGACAATTTATCTACGAGTCAAACTAGTTAATGACAACGCCGCTGCGGCAGCAATCCATCATCCGCATCAATATTCAACTTAAGTATGTATATGAGTTTATTAAGTTATGGTGCGTAGAGAGTAACATCAATATCAACTACCACACTTTAGCTTAGAAAAATTGCATGTGTAAGTACTGCATAAGTTTGCATGAATAGAGGAAAGCACGGAAGCTGCTCGCTCGTAGTGCATCACACGCAGCAATGTTGCACAGGCGTCGCGTAGCGTTGCTCATTACCGGAGCTACAATTTAATGGATATGTCGGCCACAACATTTGCCCCATTCGCGTGCAAGTGCATGTACATATACACAATTGGCCATGGCGATCGAGACTGTTTTCATTACTAACCGTTGGAGAAAATTGCCGTCTGCTCTGAACGACGCGACTGCGAGACTGGAGGTAACAATTATGCCGTTTGTGGCTCGTTTACTGCAAAAAAAAACATAAAGACAGCACAACTTAAGTACAGGCAGTCTTTTAGTTGTCTGCGCATGTGCAGCTCGCAAAACATCACTGCATCACTTGGTCATCAACGCAACGAGACACAAGCGATACGACGAGTGCTTTAAGCGCAACGAATGTATGAATGTATTTGGATTGACACAGAGCTTTCCATGAAAAATCAGCTGAAAAATACTTAGCTGACATTTATGTTGTTGTTGTTTTTGTGTTCTCTTTTTCTTTTGTGCTTTCTACTACCGGCCAAGAAAAGTAATATTGACAATGACAACTCTACAGCTACTTTTACAAATACGTGTAATACGCACGTTGACGAACGTCAATGCGTGTGGTGCATCCATTCCAACTGCTCATTGCTGAGGTGAGCCAACGGGCTG